CCCGCCAGCCCCCCCCCCTCCCGCCCCCCCCCCCCCCCCCCCTCCAGCCCACATCGCTCCAGCCTGCGACCCCGCCGTCCCCCCAACTCTCTCCTCCACCCCACACACCACACCACCCACCTCCCCCACCTCCCAACCTCCGCACTTCCCGCGCGCCCCCCCACTCCAGCGCCCTCCCCTCCACCCACCACCTCACCTCCTCTCCCCCTCCCACTCCCTCACTCACAACCGTACACACGCCCCTCACCATCCGCCCGCTTCACTCACCCCACACCCCCACCTCCGCTCCCTCCCCCCCCCCTCTCTCCTGCCACCCTCGCCCCTCCACTCTCCCCACCTCCCCACCGAGCCGCCACCACTCACCCCTCCACCCACCCAGCACACTCCCCCTGCCCGCCACCCGCTCCCCGCCCCCCCCTTCCCCCCCTCCACCAGCCACTCCTCACCCACCCGACCGCCACCTCCCCCCCCTCCCCACACCACTCCCCAACCCACCCCTCTCCAGGCTCCACCCCCCAGCCTCCACCATCCCCATTCCTTCTCCGCCTCCCTCTCCACACAACCAACACACCCCACAAACACCCCCCCCCCCCCCCGCCATCCCCTCACCCACACACCCTCCCCTCCCTACGCCCCCCCTTCCACACCCCACCCCCACCCACCCCCCATCCCCCACCCACCTTCCCCCTCATCCACCACACCTCCCTACGCCACGTCCACCCCCCTCACCCCGCTTTCCTCGCACCCGCTGCCGCCCCACGCCAGCACCCCACCCCCCCGCCCCCACCTCCCGTCTCTCGACCACTCTCCCCCCCCACCCTCGCACGTCCCTCTCACTCTCCACATCACACCCACCACCTACCAATCCCTCTCTTCTCTCCCGCACACACCACCACCACTCACTCTCTCGCTCCCACCACTACCAGCCCTCGCACCACTCTCACCTGCCACCCACTACCTCTCCCTATCTACTCTCGCTGAAAATTTCTTCTTCGTCAAACACATCTCCTAAACCGAATCACACTCGTTCTCGCTTTACAGTTCACGTCGAAACAAACACACGCAGCTACCTTCGAGCCTGACTACGCCAACCTATTATTGCCATGATATGTACTTTTCATGGTCTGAAATAATGTCGATCCTATCATGATATTAATTTCTCCCAGTCACATACCTAGCCGGACCCAAGGTTCATCCATTCATAATATACTTGTCACCAAAGACTTACCATCTTGCACGACAACATAATAAGTATTAGCTGACAAGAACCACCGAAAGCGCCGGGACCGCCCCAACCATTCACGAAACAAAAACTTACAATAAAAACAGTCGCGCACTTCCAACACCAAAGGACCCATGACGCAATCCTCTCAACTCTAGGAGTTCTGCCTCCTTCCGCACGTCGAGTCCAAACCATTTCTCATTATATGCCCCAATAGTTACTTGTATAATTGGTGACTCTTGGAGCTGCTCCAACCTTGACAGCTTCAACTTATTGCTGGATCACATCTCATTCCTCTAACACGAATCATAATGCATTCGGCTTCTCACTCATAAAAAGTCAATATTTGTCCACCAATCTGATTCGTCTCAGAAAACTATCATGTTGCTGTTGCACTTAAAACTCCTCTATACTCGTCAACAATATAAACTAATCCGACTAACTGTCATTCTCCCCATAATTTATAGTGCACAAAAACATCTTATGTTATAAGCATTTTCTATTTATTATCGGTATACTTGTCACGTACTTCTGTGTTACTCCATCGACACACTATTCACTTCTCTGTGCTAGCAAGTTCGGTAATCGATACAATACAGGTTTAGTCACAGGAAGCTTCAACCACCTCCACCAAACTAAACTCATCTTCTGGACACCAAAACCTCTCAGCATCGCGCGCATAAACGTCTTTATCAAAACTAGAATACAGTCGTGAAAATACTTTTTGTTCATTATACCATATGACACAACAAACTATGTTATGCTCAAACTCTTAGCCCAGCTCGTCTCCCAATTCTTTCGTAAAAACAACAATATCGTACGGTCCGCCCGGCTGCAACAAACAAACAGTTTGATGAGAAAATCTAACAATCTAATAAAATTGTGACTCACACTAACATCCAGCTGCAAATACATTCTCCTTCACAACTCTACTACGAGTGCCGTCCCGAACAATCTTTGCTCTACCTAACCGAAATATCTTAACTCAATAAGCAATAACTTACCCACGGAAAATTAAAGCATCGATAACAATCTCTTCATACATTGTCTGACAGAATGCAACACAGTGCAGTGACCAACAACGCTGTCACAGATTAACTTTTAGAAGTTCAAACTTCTGGGCGGTAATCTTAACAATGACAAAAGAAGTGATTATCGAATAAGTTACAAAAAGGGAGTCGACAAATTATTTATTTTAAAACCACATTTTTCAGTTAATAATTAATAACTTCCACACTTTTCACTAGAATACCAATACGTTAATCATATTGATATAGATAAATCATTAACATCTTAATAAATAAACATAATATAACTTGTTTATGTATTTTGCTCACATAGTTGAAATTATGAATGATCACCGATTTTCAAGACGTAGCATATTTATATATGTTCCGACATAAGATCTAATAATATAAGACTAAAAAATGTAAGCATAAGCATTCATGAAATATATTAAAAGTTTCAACCTCGACATTAAAAAGCTAAATGCCTGAAGTGTTCAAAATCATAAGAATGGCAAAGGACTTGGTCATTTTCAGCATTGATATTGATAAAGGTATAACTATCTCTTGTTGCACTCTATTGTATTATTCTGAAAAATAATGTTATTAGGAAGATATATTAAGTCTAAAGACTACGTCTGAGTTAATTATTTATTAATACACATATAAAAGTTACATAAGCTAAAAGTTTTTAAAAAGTTTATAAAACTATTAAGAAATGATGATTTACCTTGTAGGAAATAGACCATCTCGGCTCCTAACCCTGTGGTTGGCTTATCATCAAACTTTGACATGAGTTGGAAATTTCAACGTAAAGCATGCGATGATCTTCTTTGCTCTCTCTTGAAAATTTACATTCACTGTATGATTCAATTACGGCTTCCTCTGTTGTTTTTATGACTAATGGTTCATCTGCTTCTATTAAAACATGAAAAATATAATTAAATAGACTCAAATATGAAAGCATATTTAGATTTCTCGAGAGAGAGCCTAAAAATAATCAGTAATTAAAGAGCTAAAATACTTTTATAAAATTTTTCTGAGTTGATGTGTATCCATCCATCTGTTCTTATGATGCCTGTCATAATACACCTTTCATTTCTCAATTAGTTCTTCATCTATTTTTCTATATTTCTTCCAAATGTCACTCTACTTATTCCTATATTTATGATTATACATAACAAATATATTAATTAAAGATAATTGTATAAGTTGGATAAACATGAATGTGTATCATATTATCGATAATGTAATATGTTTATTACCCAATTCATTTACATGCGTTACAATATGACTTTAACCTGTAGAGCCCTGAGGACTCTTACCTTTTTCAGATTTGGCGGCTATATTTTTGGCTAGGCTACACGATAATTTATTAGTATTTTAAATATTTATAGAACTCATTATTGATAATATATATTAAAAAAAATGTATGTTATCCTTAAAAAAATGATGAAAGGTAACATAATTCTAGCCATAAATCTTCACTTTCAAAAATGGTCGCCATAATTTCTCTTAGTCTTCTGATTCCCATCGTTAGGCTATTGCCACTCCTTCCTTAGCCGTAAAATACTTTAAGACCGTGATAATTAATTGTATTTATATGTTGTTAAAATGTCTTCCATTGCTTTTTCAATCAACCATCTTCTGTAATGATCGCTTCGTAGATTATATTAATCATTCAGTCTTAAATTTATATGTTTGCCACCCCCCCCCCACTATCATTAATTCTGTAAAACCGAGATAATGTTAAATGCCCGATTGACGCGCCGCTGTCAAACCTTGGAGGATGAGATAGTCTATCCTGATCATCTAAGTCACGTCCAAAGCTCAGTCTTGATCGGCTGTCA